ATTTTCCTTTTACTTTTTATTTATCTTAGTGATTTATTATTGATTTTATAATTTAGTTTTTAATGTTTTTCGATTCTAAAACAAATATGTGGATTTAATTAAAATTAAAATTATTATTAAAAACAATTCAATTATTTTTATTCATTATGTATATTTTTTTTGGGTGTAAAAAAATTATACCATACTTGAAATTATTTCTGTATTCATTTATAATTATTATTTTACWATGATAGTAAATATTTTTTTTTCAAAACTATTTTCAAAAAATGTTTTTAAGAGTATGTGATACCCAAAATGAAACGTAAAAACAGCTGAAGGTACGTTTTCTCTGTAGCGTTCAGTCGCGGCAACCAGACGCAATCAAACGCGGTTTCCAGACGCCRAGACTCGACCGTTTTTTCTATAGAGGTAGAGGGTCCTTATTTTTTAAATTTAAAAATTTTGATGCAGGACCCTCTCATTTTTTTAAGTGTTATGAGTAAATAATTTGTGGTTAATTTGGTTATGATGACTTATCGCCTTCCCGTAATGCAAGAGGAATGAAAAATGATCAAAGAAGGTTTTTCCGATTTAACTCAAAAACTATCGACCCTTTCGTAAAAACGTATACAACATTTATTATAGTATTAATTAYTGTCTATAAAAAAGTATTTATTAAATTTTCTTGTAAATCTATTATTTTCGCACGAAAATAGCAAAATACAAATTATTTAATTTATTAGATTACATTTATATTATTACGGTTATTTTATTATGTTTTTTAATTATTAAGTATACAATTAAATGTCTTACATAAATATATACAATATATATATAATATTCATTAGAGTTATGGAAATTGAACCTTCATGGATTTTTTCGAGCATTTTGGATACGTTTTTCTGTATTTTTGTATAATCTAAAAAAAAAAATAATAATATTTTTTATTTTTTATATTTCAAAAAAGTTTCGTTTACTATACTAACTTGTAGTAAACATTGTTTTTGTTTTTCACTTTGGTGAATTTTTCGTTGAACTCCCGTGAGTTTTACACCCCTTTCAGCTGTATCGTTTACTATATGCAACGCATCAACCGCTTTCTTTTCAAATTGATAATAGATATTATTTTTCCATTCAGTTGGATCAATTTCCAAAATCGATATGTTTATCCCAAGTCTTTTGAATAATTTTGGAGACTGGTGATTTAATAAATATTCCGGGAACTTTTTTGTTAAAAAGTCCTTAACGTTTTCTATTTTTAAAACCAATTTATATTGAATATTGTCTTCTTCCACTAGTTTTTCACATGGGTAGTTGATTCATATTTGCATACCGTCTAAGTTTTATTGCAGTTTTCTGTTTTCAGTGGATATTCGTTCATCAAAAATAGAAAATGCCATACACCCGTCACTGAGGTACCATAAATGGTTTAAAAACTTTGTTAAGTACGATGTAACTATATGCTAATCATCAGTCGAGTATGCAAATAATCTACGTATTAAATCAATATCGTTTAAAGGGGCCTCACTTATACATTCATTGCTGTAAACCATGACTTGATATAAATTTTTATAATGAATGCACAGACTCGGCAGATTGCATTTTCTTCGTTTTTTGTCAATTTAAATTTTAATCTCKGTGAAAAAATCTTCTAACAATAAATTGCTTTAGCCATCCACCTTGATGGCACGCACCAGGCTTACAAATTATTATTATAAATTATTATTGGTGGTGTAACCATAAATATATAAGATTAATTTGTATTAATAATAACTTACCTTGCACTTATCTAATGCTGCACAAAGTGGTAGTGTCATTATTGATTTATAGGCCCTTTTTGATCCAGATGGGCCAGGACAACAGTTATCTGAGTAAACATCACTTTCCTCGCTAACATTTTCGGATTCATTTGAACTTGAATATGTTGTTATTTCTACTAAAATATTGTTATATTTAAATAATTTTATAAGTCATTTTGACGATTTTTCTTTATTTGTTCATATCTACTTCTAACATGCAACCTGGACGACCGGGATTTCGCTGAGAAATTAAAAATGCTTTGTCATCCTCAATTTTCATTTATTGCACTAGAWTGAGCAATGTCGAATAGTTTATTCAAATCTTCTTCAAATTCTTCTACTTTTGAATTGTAACTTCTATTTTCACGATTTTTACTCTTCAAGATTGCGCCATAATTCATATTTTTTTTTTCAATTCTTCACACA